CACCTATGATGGTGAAGAGACCAATTGACAACCTTCAAGACCACACAGGGCCAGCCCTACCATTGGAGAGAGTGAAACTGCCACCTCAGGCAGCATAAACTGGGGCGGAAGAGGAAGTGAAGCAGCACTGGAGATCAAAGCTGTGCAAGAGCTGTGCAAGCTATTTCTCCTGCCCTGATCCTGCTAAGTTGGCCTGCTTCCCACAGACACAGTGAAGGAGGCTCTCCATTTGGCAGCATCCAAGTAAGAGCTGCTTGACAGTGGAATGGTCTCCCTCGGGAGGTGGTGGACTCTCCTCCCTTGGAGGTTTTTAAGCAGAGGTTGGGTGGCCATCTGTCGTGGATGCTTTAGCTGAGATTTCTACCTTGCAGTGGGGGTTGAACTAATAATAACAATAATAATAAATTTTATTTATACCCCACCCTCCCCAGCCACAGCCAGGCTCAGGGTGGCTAACAGCAGTAAAATTACAGTAAAAACATAATAGGGGGGGGACCAATTTAAAATACAGGTTAAAATGCAATTTAAAATGCAGCCTCATTTTAAAAGTAAAAACCATAAGGGGAGGGAAACATAAGGGTCAGACTGAGTCCAAACCAAAGGCCTTGCGGAAAGATGTCAAGTCCCGCAGGGCCCTAGTCTCTTGTGACAGAGCGTTCCACCAAGTCGGGGCCATTACTGAAAAGGCCCTGGCCCTAGTTGAGACCAATTGAACCAACTTGCAACTTGGGACCTCCAAAATGTTGTCATTTGTGGACCTTAAGGTCCTCCGTGGGGCATACCAGGAGAGGCGGTCCTGTAGGTACGTGGGTCCTAGATGACCCTTCTGTAAGATTCTTCTGCCAGTCTGGTCGGGTTTCTGTACCTGGAAGAGTGAGGGGCTCTTATCCACTGCAGGTAGCAAAGTGCCACCTTCACTGTCACAACTATATCAATACTGCCCCAGAATATAGATCTTAATTTGTCACCACTCGTTAAACAGATTACAGGGCTCAGAGGTAGCTCATCCGCCACAGACAACCATCTCTACCACTTTGTCTTTTCCTCAGCTCTTACTACACAGGAAAACATTTCCACCTAGAGCCCTTTCACAGAATATCTAGAAACAAAATATTTGCAGAGAGCTATTGCCATTGTACCTAAAGAGCCAATCACAGGGAATGGCAATACCCTTTATTTAGCCACACCTTTTACATTCAGTAATTCAGTTTGCGAACAGACATTTCAGAGATGTGATGCAGTCACATTTAATTTGTGTATTATAGGTAACACTGTAGGTTAGATGTTTCCTTTTTTATATTTAAAAAAAAGGGGAAATGTGAAGGCATTTTAAACAGAATGTTATATTTAGTAGCCAGGTCACAATACTGGAAAATGAACACACATTCCCTACATTCTCTGTTGCAGCAAGAAACCTTTTCATGGATGTGCTCCCTGGAATGGGAGTTGCCTCTAGCAGAGCGGTGGCATTTTGATAGCAAAGACAAGTGACACAGAATAAGCTTTATAGATGGTCTGCTCTTGGAGGCTGTGTGCACATTTATCTGGGAGTAAGCATAATTGAACACAGTGGGATTTGCTTCTGGGTTAGCATGCACAGCACTGGGCTATAGATTTACTCTGTCCTGCAATCTAAATGTTGCATACTTCTTTCATCCTGTAGCTTCCCATGTGCTTGCAGACTACTGCCCAATTCCCATTGATGTGAGATTGTGCACTACACAGCACATGACTCACAAGTGCTTTGAGGTATATTTCATGCGGCTGTTCTCTCCAGCCCCTGAAAAATCCACACAAGACCACAAAAATAATCTTTATTCATTCTTCTTTTGGCAGGTCATGCTTTCTTTCTATAAAGTACAGCCCCCAGGTGATTAATTTCACACTTAAGGCATTCTTGCTGTGTTTTGAGCTAATATGAAGGCAGCTCTTTTCAACATCAAAACCGTATATTTTAACATGCCTCTCATTTCTTGGCAAACCACTCAAGTTTTCAGCTATATTTGGGAGGAACTTAGTCAGCAAGGCTTCATAATTTCTCATTTTTTTAAAAAAAATGTTACTTCAAAATGACAACGGTTCAAACAGCTCCAAAATAAAGAACAGTAAAGCTGAATAGACAAATGCTGTTAGTAAGCCTTTGATCTGAAGGCTGCAACCAGCATTAAAACCATATTGAAAACACAATTATTACAAAGGACATGAAACAATATCTCACAAGTACTGAAGAAATTTCAAACTTTTCCATAATGGGCAAAGCTACACTGGCTCACAAAAAACCAGTGGCTACAGATTTTTGTCATCACAAGCAACATCAATGTGAACACTTCTGTATTTGCTAGACACCTCCTATTACTGCATATTGCAAAGATATGCTTCGTGACATGAACTTGGCAGCAATTAAAACCTTCGCTTTAGAAACAAGACAGTTTCTACATAGCATGTCAGCCCCTCTCATGTATGAGACAAATAATGATCTTTCAAAATAATGCAGTGAGCATCACAGCCTTTACATGCAATGGATCTTCCTGGCACTGAAGATACTGGGAAGGCTTACACCACCTGCAAATAGTAATTCCGCCCATCAATGCTACATTAATGGTTTCCTCCTCAGCTCCTATCAGCACCTTACACCCACCCTCGCAACCTGCAACCTAAGCATTTCTATTCAAACTGTAAAGCAAATATCTGGCCTGGATGGAGAGAGAGTGAAGAACCATTAATATTTTTTTCTAGCACACACAAATAAACAGGAATGGGATTTCTTTCTCCCAACTCAAATCACCTGCTAAACACACATACCCTGACCACAATATGATAGGGGACAACTGAAAGCAGAACACTGTGTCCCTTGTGAGCCTTATCAGTCAAACCATTTCAGCTGACCATGTCTCCCCTCGCAGCCGAGACATCAGAAACCAGAGCCACCTAGAGGAAGACAATTTTTCTTCTGTCTCTGTCTGGTGGTCATCCAAGAGGAGACTCCTGGCTTTTCCAGAGCCTTCACAATTTGTTAAGGTGCTGTGATTCTATGGCATGGAGACACACCCCAAATCCCAGGCAAGGATAAATTAGTTGGTAATCTATATTATAGTAGTATAGGGAAGCTTTTAAATGTTTTATTATGTTTTTATATATGTTGGAAGCTGTCTAGAGTGGCTTGGGGCAACCCAGTTAGACGGGTGGGGTACAAATAATAACATTATTATTTGTTGTTGTTTGAGGGCTACATCTCCCTCCACATGGCACCTTTTCAGTACCAACTATGCCAGTTGTATCCTGAAGCCTTATGGCAGAGTGCCAGAAGAAATTCTGAAGGTAGTGACAACATGGCAACGTCTTTTAGGTTGCTGCAGGTTTTTGCTTCTTTCAGAATCTTCCCAACCCTCACCCTCACTCACCCATGGGTGCTCACTAGCTAGATGCAGCATGCAACACACTGAATCCTGACCAAGCTCTGTCTTTTGAAGATCACAGTCAGGAAAGAGAGGACTCCAGCTCTGACCAAAGTGGACTACTGGAGGAGCTGAGAATTGAATCATTTCTGAAAATGAATGGAGAAGACTATGTAAGAGGAAGGGAAAGATTTAGTGAGATCTTGTATGTGAGAGAGAGGGTGAGTTATGTAAGCTTCAAAATAAAATAAAATACAAAAAAATAGTATTTGTGGGAGGGAGGTTGTTGGTTTGCCTGTGTTTTAAACTTTTGAATATTGCATTTTGTGTGTTTATGTGGTGAACTGCCCTGTGATCTCCGGGTGAAGGGTGGCATACAAATTTATTAAGACTCTGATGGTGGTGTGTGGAAATGATATGAAGGGTCTGGAATGAGAAGATCCGAGATCCCTGAATTCTGGTGCTTGTTAAATAGAAAATGTGGGAAACAAAAAAACCCACAGCCTACCCTGCCCTGGCAGGAGGAAAAGCCAAGAGTAAGGCAAACAAAGTAACAAATCAACAACAAAAACCCCAAACCCATTCTCCTTCCATGCATGCTGGTTTTTCCCCTCTTTAACGCCGCTGAAAAATGGGTCACCAAAAAAGCTCTTGCCTGTGGGAAAATCAAGAAACAGCAATGTAGGCAAGGGGGCTGAGGAAGGTTCAGAAATTTATTTCTGAAATATTAACGAGCCCTATGCCGAGAGAAACATCTAGGCTAGATTTTTTTCCGCCCTTCCGCAGAGAGAAGAAGGGTGTGAGCAATTGGCAGCACGCAGAAGAGCATTTCCGGAAGGGATAAACTTAAGAGGCAAGGTAAAGTTTCAGGAGAGAGTGGGGTAGGAAAAGCAGAGACCCCACCCACCCCAAATCCCGCTCTCCCTCAGGTGCTGCTGTGACACCACCAACCCTGTTCTCCAGGATGCTAAGTCTCTCTTTCGCTCGCTCTTTTCCCCACTCTTCAACCTTCTCCATCTCACGCTCCCGGGGAACCTCTAGTGGACGAAAACGGAGGCGCCCCTTCTGATGAACACGAGTCTCTTACCACCGGAGTTAAAATCCCTCAGACAACTATCTGCTTTGTAACTGAAAAGCTCGACTGGACGATCGGGCAAATTCTATGCCTCTCCCTTCTCCCACAGAGAGGAGAACCCACACGCGTTGGGTTCCTTAGGACTAAGAAGACTAGGACGCTGACCCCCACCGCTCATCCTTGCGCGCCGCACATACGGATAGAGCCGGGGCGGGGGGGAATATGACAAGCCTCCATAGCTGTGAGATTAAACATTGCAAAGTACAAATGGAGGATTCCCCCCCACCCAATTCACCCACCTTCCTATCCGCAATCTCCCATCCGATTTATATGGACAATAACTTTCCCTCGGATTGGCGAGAGAGAAAGAGAGAGGACGCCGGCGCAGCTGCAAAGAGGAGAAAGATCGTTTGGTAACTAGATTGCACTTTTTACTGAGAAAGGGTGGAGTGGAATCTAGAACCTATATTTTTTGGGGGGAGGGCATTAAGGATATAATGGGGAGAGCGCAAACGGAGAGATCCCCTTACCCGGATGCCGTCTGAATTCTCCTCGGCGTCCTTTAACACAACCAAGCTGGTCTCTCTCCACAACCACGCGCGCACACGCGCGATCCGTGCCGGGCTTCTAATTCCACGGTTTCTCTCGCCGACGGGAAGGAAGAAATAGGGCGAAAGCGGCGGCGCAATCCTCACTCACATTGCCACGCCACAGGCAACGACGGCGGCAAAAGGGTGGGCAGGGAAGCCTCGCCGCTTCTCCAAGTTGGCTTGCGTACACGTCTATCTATCTGTTGGCAGGTTTTCCACAATTAAGATCCCCGAGATGAAGGCGACCAAAAGAAAGGAACGTGGGGGGGGGGGGAGGACGGGGGAGGTTCCCCAATCAGTTGTTGCTGCTGCCTCCTTTTTTTGCTCGTTAATTGGCAACCCTTTAAAAAGAAGAGGAAAGGCTTTTTACTCCGAATTGCCTTTTTTCCGGGGAGGGGGTCTCGTTTGTTTGTCTGTATGCAGGGACCGGATTCTCAAGTCCAGATTCTCAACGGCTCCGAGGAGATGGCTTCTTCCCCGCGAGGCTTTCGCAGCGCGCTCCGCTTGCAACGCGGCTGCCTTCCACGGTGGAAACTTTCAGGTGGAGAAGGAAACAGCGGCGGTAGTGGCAGCATCTAGCGAGCAAGCGAGCAAGCCCAGGTCTAGGTGAGGATGGGCGGGCGGGTGCTTGCGCGTGTGCAAAAAAGAAACACACACACAAAACACACACACACACACACCGGTTCCTTCCAGGGCTCGAACACGGGCCGTTGAAGTCCCGCAGCGAGAGGGATGAGGGGTGGGGACAGTGGGAAATGCAAAATAAAACAATGCACGCACCTCCCCCCAAAAACCCAACGACTCTCCAGCGCCCTAGAGCCGTGTAGCAAACCAGCCAAGGTCCTTCGTGTCCCCTTTCTCACGACCAGCTGTTCCGACGCTGCGATCTTCGCAAACGGCTACAGCCGAGGCGAGCGGCTTAACTCTTTCCCTTCCGCGCTCCGCGCTGCTCCCAGGAAAGGAAGGAGTAGCTGCCGCGTCTGCCCTTGCAGTTGGGCTGGGAGCTCCAGGGAGTGCCGCATTTCTCCGAGTAAGCGCGCAAAGATCCCCCTTTTCCCCCTCCCCCCGGCCGCGGTTCCTCCTCCTTCTCCCCAGCGTGACCTGATTAGCTACAGCAGGGAAAGAGGACGCAGGCAGCGCCTTCCCAGCCAGCAGGAACGCGTCCGCAATGGATGCGCGCCGGCGTCTTCGTGGACGCTTTTGCGGAGACGCTCCTATTCGGAGGTTGGCGGGAGCAGGTGGGACGCTCAGCTGGCGGAGGGGAAAGGACCACCCAGGCGGTTTGGGAAAGGTGGCGTTTCCAGTGGTCTGGGCAGCCTGATCCTATGCAGCAGCGCAGCAGAGGATCTGGATGCCTGAAGGAGAGAAAGCTAAGGGCTCCTGCACTTTTTCTTCCCCGCAGGAGATTCGCTTTTCTCCTTGAGGCACTAGGAGAAGACGAATTCATGAATGGAACTGAAGCTCGTGCACCGTTTTATTTCTGAGCACAGGGGATTGCTAGAAACAGACGGATCCTTTTGCCCGATCCGATTTAATATCCGCGATTCCTTCAGAATAGCTCTACGTAGGATCGGCTGATAAAACGTTCCTATGTCCCTTTCCTGCGCCCCTTTTCTTCCAAGAACCCACTGAATTCTCAGTAGGGTTGTATTCGCTTGTAGCGCCATGCCCGCCATCCTATGCGTATGCGCACAGAATTTGAAACTCTTTCCTGCTCCAAGCCTGGGAAGCAAATCACATTGGTCTAACTGAGATTTACTTCAAAGTAAGCATAGCCAGGATTGGGACCAGGGGTGCCAACTTGAATAAAATATTGGGGGGGGGGAGCATGTAAGCAACTATGGAACTGAAAGCATTTTAAGCATAACTAAAGGAAAGGCAGCAGAAAGATCAAGAAGAATATAGAGAGCTTTAAATAATAAAATTATTAATTATAGTTATAATTATTATATTATTTATACCCTGCCCATCTGGCTGGGCTTCCCCAGCCACTCTGGGCGGCTTCCAACAAAATATTAAAATAGAGTAATGCATCAAACATTAAAAAGCTTCCCTAAACAGGGCTGCCTTCACGTGTCTTCTAAAAGTCTGTGCAGCGAGGAGGTCACTACGCTTTAGAGTGCAATCTCATGCACGCTTACCTGGGAGTTAACCCCATGCAACTTAATGGAATGCGATTCTGAGTTGAGTTGTATAGGATAACATTGAGAGACTAGGCATACGTATTTTAGAGCAAGTCCCTTTCAACCTTAGCCCTATGGAAGCCCAACTTTCAATGGGACTTGTTTCTGCAGCTTTTTGTGGATTGTTCTAGTGTGTGGATTGTTCCAAGTCAAAGGGAATCATGGAATTGTAGATTTGGAAGGGGACCCTGAGGATCATCTAGTCCAACCCCCTGCAATGCAGGAATATGCGGTTGCACTTATAAGCCCATGTCAAAATCCTGTTCATCTCAGAATTGATGGGCATGTATATATTTATGGAGCAAGCTTGTTTTTCTCCTGCTCTGGAGGGTAGGACTCGAACCAATGGCTTCAAGTTACAATAAAGGAGGTTCCCACTAAATATATGAAAAAACCTCCTGATAGTAAAAGCTGTTCAACAGTGGAATGGAGCCCCTCAGGAGGTTGTAGACTTTCCTTCCTTGGAGGTTTTTAAGCAGAGGTTGGGTGGCCATCTGTAATGGATGCTTTAGCTAAGATTCCTACATTGCAGTGGGATTGGACTAGACTTGGGTCCCTCCCTATTCCACAATTCTATAATTCTGTTATATATATAAACATCCACACACACACACACATACACATGCAGGAAGGCTTGATTCGCCACTATTGCACTGGAACAACTAGTTAGGCCACAAAGAAGCTGAATTCACACAGCAGTTGATTCTGTTTCATGGGTATTTCTCTAATGGTTAATTTTTGCTTTATATTTGAGCTTTCACATGACATAAAAGTCACTTCCAGAGATAAAGTGCAATATTACACAAGTTTAGTGCTCATTTCTGTGTTATTTGCAAACTTTTTTAAATTTCTGGAAGCAAAATAATGCAGAAATGAACCCTAGACTTGCACTGTACATTACAGGAAGTCGCTTTCACATCACGTGAAAGCTCAGATATAATGCAGAAATTAACAGTTAGGAGATGTCAGGAAAATGGAATAAACTGCTGTGTGAATGCAGCCAGAGAAGGGAGCTAGTATATAGCACTCATTAACTCCTAATCACAGCCAGCGCTTACAACACAATCTAAGAATGGTCTCAATCCATCCTTGGGGCTCTCTGCTAGTGTTTTAATAACAGCTGCTTATATAACTCAAGAATTGGATTCCCCATCTCCTGGGTGTCACCCTCTGCTAACATCAGTAGCTAACTTTTTATTTAGTTCAACCAGCTTCCTATGGTTTGGGTGGTGGTGTGGGGGAAAATTCAATTCAGTTTGCATTTAAAGGCAAATATACCCAATTTGCACTCTCCATGACAATATGCAAACAGCCACATCCTTCAAGATTTGCTCTTCTCTGGATTCTACAATGCAGTTCTCCAGTCAAGTAATGTTTACAAAGATGCACATCGTACAGTAAAATATACATTAAAATATGCACATACCAATGAAAATAGGATACATAACATTGGGGGAATTTACTTGGACAAAATGTGTCTATTGGGGCAAAAGTGCATACAAAAAAGCAT